TCGGATCCTTTTGTTAGGTTGCTGCAGCACATGCACATTGTCACTGTTTTGAGAAGTTGCCTTTACTCACCCCATGAGAGATCCAGTTGAGAGCAGCGAAAAGACGCTCCCGACAAATATCTGTCTCCAGATGTCCTCACATGTGGTCACCAGTGTCCACTAATGCTGCGTCAAAGTTCAGCGCTTTCCTCTGCTCCGTGGTCGAGCGGCAACGATGACAATCAAAACTTTGGTGGAGGACTAGACGGCATGTCCTGTCTAGTCATTTGGTAAATCCATACCGGGCTGTGCGCCGCCGCGGAAACACGAAAGCGAGACGATTTCAAAATAACGAGAAGCGGTGAAAGGCAAAAAAAGGCTTGTTTCAAAAAATCGAGATCGCACTTTCTCTTTTGTCGCTCTAATCCAACAGTCCGCCTTATTGTCCTCCTGCTCACTGGGAACAACAGCTCCACGGGGCTGTGGAGCGTCAGGGAGGCGTGCACGAAATACGCGGTCAAACACACACTCACACGCGTGCACACACAAACACACACCCACTCACATAAGAGACCGATTGTATGGAAACGTCATATAGCCTAAGCCCATAAAGAGTCGCGAGTCTCATTGTCGAAATATAACAGCAATTAATATGGAAAATACGTTTTGAGCCTATTTCTGGACCTTTTCCCCACAAATGAAGTCCAGATGTTCCACCTCTTCACTTCCTCCCCGCTAGCAGATCCCAGCATGAACCACAGTCCACACTTTTCAGCTCATCATGGCTCAGTTTCCCTTTAGAGAAGTGGTCAGCTGCAGCTCAATGGCCTTGTAATGAAATTATTTCATTTGTGTTAGAGGAGCATGATAAATAAACATTAGCATTTGACCTGCTCCTACTTCTGTGGCATATTTTTCAAAACTACACAGTTTTGTTTGTTGTTTCTGTTAAGTAATTTCACATTTATCCCTCCCCATAGGTATAATAAGGAGGGTGAGGTGAAGGTAAGTCAGGGCTTGTTAGTCATCAGGGCTGTGCCCAGACATACAGTGGGGCAGGTGCTGAAAGGGCCTCCATCCAACCCCAGAGGAGGTAATAATGTCTTCACAGTCATTACACTGAAAGCCAAAGTCATCCCAAGTGACTATGATGTCATGTGTCTGATAAGAAGAAGGTTGCTGCGTAATGTTGTTATAGTTTTTATTAGTTTTCTTACAAAACACCTAGGAGCACCCTTGCTTCTGTGATTTGTTCTAGGAATTGAAGGTGCACCATCAAGGTTTCTGAAGTTCATGTTGTTATTTTTCAGAAACTGACTTACTGCATGAGAGAAAATATGCAAATGGAAAATGAAAGACTTAAAGACATAAATGAGTGTGATGATTCAGAGCTTAAATTAAAGATACTCTTTTCTTTTAAAAAGACAACAGACTAGGAAGTGTGTGGTTCATCTTAAGACTCACACATATACTCCTACATGGCTGAATGACATCAGATTACACAGGGACAGCACCTCACTGCTCATCTATAGGTGTGAAGGAAACATCCCGCAGTAGAAACACACCAGCAGTTCCCAAATGAGTCTTGATGCGTCTGGTCTCTACCCAGCACTTTGACTCATGTCGTGTCTGCTGATGCTTTACTCTAGAAGAAAGGATCAAGATTGTGCAATACTCTCGCCGCACTCATTCCTGCTCCCCCCACAGCAGCAGCTGGTGTGTGGAAAGCATCACTCAAGAAAAAAAAAGAAGAACTACTTGTGAAAAAGAAACTTTGCAATCCTTGTGTGTAAGTTGCCAACATCTTCTAACCTGCAATCTCAGGAGATGAAGACAACTTTAACGGTTTAACGGTGAATCTTCAAAGCTTTTGTTCTTTGCTCTCAGCTAAAGTGCTGGCAAGTTGGATGTTCAGCGAGTAATAGATGTTTAGTAGACAGGTTTTATGGACTGACTTCTCACCGTCAGTGGGTTTATGATGGGACGCTTTCAGGAGCTGCTCCACTGCTCTGTCTCTCACTGAGCTTTTAGGGGAGGGGTCAAGAGCCCTGACCTCACTTCCTGTTGGGGCTCCTCACAAGCATTCCATTGTCTGTGAGAATGTGCACGGGCTCAGGGGACTCTGCACATCTGGCAGCTGTTATTAGCAACCTCCTGTACACCCCCCCCCCCCCACCGCCACACACACACACACACATACACATACACATACACACACATACACACAGTCACACACACACACACCCATGGAAGATTACTACATGTGCTGGTGGATGTGTGCCCCACAACACACCTCAAAATAAACCCTCTGGGATAGTATTGTTTCATGGGTTGCCACAGCTTGAATGGAATAAATAAGCTAGAAAGTTTTTTTTGTAGTGATTTGCATTTTATGTCCCTGCCAGTCTTTTAAATATACATTTTAAAAGTTAGTCTCTACAATAATATGAAGCAATGTCAAAATTAGACATTTTTGGGAAATATGGTTTGTTGCAGAGAGAAAGCAGCCAGTTAGCTTAGCTTAGCACCAAGACCGAAAACAGGGGGAAACCGTTAGCCTAGTTCTGTCCAACACTGTCTGCCAGCACCTCTAAACTTCACTAATTAACAAATTACATTTTGTATGTTTATTTTGTACAAAAGATGAAGTACAAAAACAATTCTTCATTTTACAGGGAGTTTATGTGCCAAACTGTTGCTTGGCCTGAGCCAATAACTTCCTGGAGTTTACCCTGCTTGCCTTTCTTGACCAAGAAATAGTTCCCTAATAAAACAGTGAATTCTTGTCTTTACACTTTTTGTACAGATTAAATAAGGTAGATATAACATGTTAATTAACAAGCTTTAGAGGTTCTGATAGGTGGATTTTCTTACCGCTGGACAGAGCCAGGCTACCTGCTTCCAATCTTGGTGCTAAGCTAATTTATCCGGCATATTTTTACAAACATAACAGTGGCATCAATCTTCTCATCTAACTGTCAGTAAAAAAGAGGAGTGAAATTACCAAAATGTCTATTTTTTCCCTCAAAGACATTATTGTCACCTTTCCACCAGAGAGACTGCAAGACGACCTCCTTTACGAGGAGCTTTGAGACAGGTTGTGGTCACCTGACCTAGGTTTGAACCAGAAGTGGGACAGTAAAAAGGCTTCAAGTCAGAGATCAAAATGCGTGCGGCAACAGAAAGTAGGTAGTGCATCAGACACTTTATTTATATTACTCATCTACATTGACCTGCTTTAAAAGATCACAGGGCTAAAAAAAGGGCAAAGTGAATATAGAAGAGTGGTTAGATATTTTGTGTTCCCACTTTTAGGCAGCATTACACTGGGGATGTCATTAACAGCAAACTCTAACTGTTCTCAGGCTCTGTGTTGTGTGAGACGTGGACTTTCCATCCCTTGGTTACCCACATATATAGAGTATATACATATCAACCACAGATGGCGTGTCAGTATGTATTGTATGAAATAAGGGCAAATTTTATGGCCCCCAACAGCATAATAATAATGATAGTTTTAATGTAATGACTCATTGGCGTGTTTTGGGTTGTGCACTAATATATCCAGACAACACGAGTCTGAAGATAACATACCGTTTCGATTTTAAACAGAAAATACACAAAAAGAGAATTGTAAGGGAAAGATACCCACAACTTCCTCATCCAAAGACTCCCAGATATAAGTAATTCTCTGTGGAAACCTTCCTCTTTTCCGCACAGATGCTCACAACCAAAGCTAAAAGTGTATTTTTAGTGCTGTGAATGTTCTTCAGGTCATGTGCATTAAAGTTGTCTGAGTCAATAACAACTGATGTGATCAAGATGACATCTTCACAGAGGACTGTAGATCATATAAAAAGAAGGAAAGGAAACGTGCACAATTTGCATTTAAGTAGGTGTTTTTGCCACTACTGAAACATGACTAGATGCATGCTGGTGATATATCCTCTTCACATTTATATTAAACAAATTAACTATTTTTGTACTAGTTGTAATAGCTTTTGCTGGCGACATCATCTTGAGGTCATAAACAGGACCTGCTATGAAAATTACAGTCAAGACAAAAGCTCTACTGTTTTGTTAATTGTTCAAATATATATGTGCATACAGTTAATTGACACAGACAGTGCTTGTGGCACAAGAGGTTTGGTTTCCTCTCTTAACACCAAACAGCAAAAGTGTTGCCCGGAGTCAGTGTGGCTTATCTCTCTCTGCACTCCAAACAGTGGGCTTAAGTGCTGGCTGCGTCACATGTCTCTGCTGTTCACAGGTTTAGAAGAAATCCGTCCACCCTGCATTCACTCCCCCGCAGACCTGCAGTGTTATCTTACCGCTTATCTCTAGAGCATCTAGAAGCTTTTTTTTTCCAGCACAAAAGAACATCTCATATTATTTTTACATTTGATCTGTTCATTGAGCAGGGATAAAGTCTGAATAACTGTCCACAATCAGCTCACTTTATTTACTCACACACACACACACAAAGGAGATATGTGTCATGTATTTCTGATTTTTCTCATTTGATCTTTTAAAACATTTTGTGTTATAACTTCCATTGGTTGTGTCTGTCTGTGTTGCATTTTTATCCTGTGGATCCGCATCAAAACTTATTTATATGTCTTTTTATTCCTATTTTGTGCTTTTACAATTTTTCATGGCTCCACCCCCCATTCTAAGGCGTCTCTCAATGGAGTATAGAGTTACCTTATTTTTACAGTCAGGCCTGAAAACACTGCTCCCATGGTCCACTGCCACGCCACTGGATGTACTGGTTACCATGCTTGGGTATATTGGGTGTCTGTTGTGTTCACTGTCCTCTGGTCCACTGAGGACCAGAGTGTTGGATAGCAAAATGAGTGGGCACACATGGGTTGATGGGGGAGACCTGACTTTGTGGCTTCCTTCAGATTAGGGCAGAGTTTTTAGAGCCTTGCTGAAGTACCCTTAGCAAAACACATTTAAATCCATACATCCATTATTATGTAGTAGAGGATTTTCCATTAAAGAGCATATTATGCTAATTTTCAGGTTCATAATTTATTCAGGGGTTGAACCAAAATAGGTTTATATCGTGTAATTTACAAGAAACACCATATTTTTGTCAGACTGCACATTGCTGCAGCACCTCTTTTCACACTGTGTTGAATGCTCCGTTTTAGCTACAGAGTGAAACAATTCACTTTTATGTGATCTTTGTTTGGAGTTGCACATGCACAGTTCCCAGGTAAGGACTACTAGCCAATCAGAAGCAGAGTAGGGCGGGTCCGGACAAGCAAGGTAGTGTGATCCAAAACAAAGTTGCTTCAGCCGTAACCATGGCTTCGGGTTAGCTGTACATGTTCAAGCCCAAGTCTCATCCCGAAACACTGGCGGAGCAACCCAATCCAGCTTTGCAACCTAGACTGGAGCAAGACATTTCAAAGTTATTAATTTGTAACAAATGTATTTTTCATATGTAACTTTTTAACAATGCATTGTCTCTACATCACAGTAACAACTTTATGTCCATTGATTTCCTGGAGGGTATCTAATGTCATTTTTATTTCATATTTAGGTGTAGAAACACACACTAGCCGCTAGGCAAGTATATTGATGTGTGTAACACAGTGACGCAGAGGTTTTGGAAGTAAAGGCTGAAATACAATCAAGCTGTTTTCAGGCAGTTCAGAGCAGTGTTTTTCTGTGGGAGATTCTGTGGGGTGGACTATGACCTTTTTTCACTTTGCAAACCTATTACATGCAAAAAAACGATCTTTAACACAATAAAGAAAAGGGAAAAAGCCAAAAACCATAATATGACATCTTTAACATTATCACTGAGAGTGTATGTTGTTATACTGCAGCAGGAGCAGTCACAAGAGAAGTGATGCAACTCCTGTCAGCTCGGTGGTCAAACAGTCATTTGGCAGGTGAAAAGGTGTCTTTTCTGGGGTGTAGAACCAGCACAAAGGCCTCAGTTTAGCATTTAACAGAGCAACAGATAAGGTCCCTGTCATTTAATCTTCGGCGGCATCACAAAGGTCACGGCTACAATTCTGTTGCTTTGACCTGAAACCATATGGCAGCCATCAGTGGCTCCTCTTGCACTGGCAAAGAAACCCAACCCTGATGTTTCTTGCAAATTCATTGGCCAGACAGTAAGTTCAAAAGTTTAGTCATAGGTTTGCATGTGCGTGTGTGTGCGTGTGTGTGCGTGTGTGTGTGTGTGTGCGTGTGTGTGTGCGTGTGTGTGTGTAGGTGTGTGTGCGTCTTTGTGGTAGTGCTGGGCAAGGCCAGAAGTAAAAATGTAACTCATTAGCAAGAATCATTCATGTTCTTTCAGTTTAGTTTGTGTGGTTAGAGCATCACACTGACACAGGGATGGTATAGAAATGATGTTTGCTATTCTGTCATATTCTGTCTGTAATAGTTATAATACCCTTTACTCTCATTCTTTGACCTCAGTGCCATGCGCTTGTCGAGGTAAGAGAGAGAATTAGTGCACAGATGTTGCACAGCAATCACTCAACAGAAAAAACAGACCTGTCCTTCTTCGTCCACTCATGCAGAATGTTTAGAGATTATGTCGGGGGGGAAAGGGAAGGAAGGAGCAGTATAACGGAGCTGAAAAAGGAAATAGAAAATGGATGGATGTGTAGTGAAGTTAGTCAATAGAGGGTAAAATAAGCTTTCAGTAACCAGGTCAAGCGTGCACCTATTGGAATCTTGCCTGGAAAAGCGTGCATGTTGTATGTCTGAGACAGGCAGGCCAGACTCAATTAAATGTTGATTTTTGTGTATTTTTGCTTGAGGCAGAGCGCTCCGTATTTGTTTGTAAAAGAGTGTTTATAAAAGAGTGTTTGTGCCAACACATCCATCAAAAGGTGCACATTTCTCTCCTCGAGCGGAATTTATCTTCTGTTTCCCAACGGGAAGCTGGCACTTGACTGCCGGGGTCAATGTTGGGGGTCATCAGATAAGAAGGATCAGGGTCAGGCCATTACCTTAATCCAGTGTTCGTACCAGCCTCTCTCATGACCTGTGCTGCTCTCCGTGCCCTCGGTTAAATGTTAAGTTACGTTGTCAAAGTGGTAAAATGCATACCTAAAAAAAAAAAGACAATGAGTGTGAGGAGGGATGGCAGGAGGTGCAGCAGGGGTCTAAATCTCACACCCTCCCGATACAGCCTGAAGCACTTCAGTCTTTAAAACTGATGTCACACACACAAACAGACCTGGCCTGGACATGGCCCAGACAATCACATGCACATGAAATGGGAAACTAGTTTCAATAGGGACTTTGCCAAAGTTATAGATATGTTATTTTATTTGTTGCCAGAAAAACAGCCACCTAAGTACTTAAAAAAGGAAGCTGAGGAAAGCGTTTCATTTTCCATTGGTCCTGGAAAACACCTTACTTTCTCCCACTGATTATTACAGTAATGCTTTATGAGATTGTTTTCCAACTAACAGGTAGATACGGTAGGTTATCAGTGTAAATCATTAGCAAGAATGAAGAAAACTCATATCCATTCATTTTCTGATGTGTTATTTAGTGTATTTTATTGTGTCATTCTAAGTCACCTTTGAATTGGTCAGAAACCTCCCAGGTTTATTGGCTGCACACGGTTGCCTCCCCTGTGGTCAAACTCCACACGCCACCCGGGAAGTGGGGCTTTGATCAGCACACTGGGAACATTCTTCCCATCATCCTCTCACTTCCCTCCCCGGTGTTTATTATTGGCCGCAGCTGGAGCACCTCCAGTTGCCTTAGACCTCACTCCACCAAGGTCGTGCTGACATTGTCCCACCCCACAAAGCTGAAGCAGCCCACCTCCGTTTGACTTTAACTCAAGTTAGCATATGCAATTGCAGCAGCATGAAGAAATGTTTCTGCACAAGTTCAGATCAAACGTGTCATCATGAGTTGTGTCAGCCTAAAGATCATTGTCATTATATTGCAAGTCATGGGAGATGATTTCTTCCCCTTTCTTCTCTGTTAAAGAACATTTTATCAAGCTCCTTTGTTTTCATGACCATTGACCTCTGCTTGTAGACAACGATCTTCATGGAAACAACAGTACAAAAATAGTTCACCAGCTACTTTGATCACTCTGCATAACAAACGGATACAGACTCATCTGCATGCGACTGTTGACAGGAAAGTGCTTCTGTCACTTTATCTGTGTCAGTTCACATCTCTTCTGTGTTTTAAGCTTTTATTTAGCTGATGGTAATCCATACGTTACAGAACTGCATTATGAAATGACAAGCCCTATTTACAGTCAGGGTTTGAACATTGCTCTGAAGCTGAACAATACAATTCCAGCCAAATGAGTTCATAAGGTTTTTGGCAACATTTTCTTATATGTGTTGATTTATCACATTGTGTTTGAACTGGGTTAGTGGGTAATCTGAAAGTACCTCTTAGAGTTAGTAAGTGCAGTAACTTTCCCAACACTTCAGTAAGGGGGTCAGGGTAAAAGGTGGAGAAGGAAATTTACATTCTGGCCAAGTAAGATTGGTAATAATGATACAGCTGTCTTCTAATTGCACGATGACCTCAGTGGCCACATCCAATCAAGTTCAAAATTACATATCACCCGCAGCCAAATCTGTAATAACCTCAACAATTAAAGGAAAGTTACCAGATACCAAAGAGAAGAAGAGAAGAAAGAAATTGCAACTTGATCCTTTCATACACATTAAAAGCGCCACTGTAAAGCACAATATAAACAATACTTAAAAAGATAATTAACTGCAGCTCCAGATTCCAAAGACTTGCTCAAGAACTGGCAATCCAGCCCACATACAATATCCCATCACTAAATAATCACTGTGCTGGCTAATGACATCCAGTCATCACTTTTCCCTGCTGTAGTCTGCGATGACTAAAGCGTGCCGTCTTCTATTAGTTTTCTCACTGAATACATTTCGAGGTGCCCTAACGTCAGTGAATCTGTCAGCCCTGGATACACACATCTGTGAGTGAGGTTTTCACATGAAGATGACTGATAGCTCATGCTGTTACTTGCCAGCTGGGCTGGTTCTACTTGGCAATATGTGAGTCATGCCATTAAAGTCTTAAAGTCTCTAAGGTGGAATAGAGACTACTGCATCATTATCTAATCAGACTGCAGGTTTGATACCGCTAGCATCCGCTGTGAAAAGCATATAAAGAATCATTCCTTCAGGCAGTTGGGGTGGATGATGGGAAATGCCAAGTCAGAGGTGTGCACGTATATGTGCGTGACTGAGTGTCCATGTTCAAGTGTTCAACCCTAAAATGCAGAATTTGGCAACATTGCAGCTGCCACAGAGAATGCCCAATAAAGCTGACGAATATCACTGCTGGATAACAAAAAAATAAATGTGGGTTTAATTAACAGCTCACACGAATTCTATGACTGGCAGTAATCTCACTAACCTAAAACAGATTGAATTAGACATTCTTCCTTTCAGTAAAGCTGCAACTGGACCACTGTTTTTACTAAATTTGAATGGTGTTATTAATCCAGAACCAAGATTGAACTCCGATGATGTACCCACACAAACACACACAAAATCAGTCATATTTTTGGAACCCTAATTCAGTCCATGAGAGTTATTTTGTAAACCAAGACTTTCAGCTATTTATAACCCTTTACTATACTATAATGTGTTTTCATTTTGTGGTACTAAATATTTAGCAAGTCATGATGTCACTGATGATGTCTCATTTTTCACTGACTCTGCTCAGATAAATTCTCACTGCTCCATGTGGAAGCGAGGGTCCTTTGTACTAACTGTGGGACTTTCATTACTGTGTTGAAGAACTCCTTTAGTCCCAGCTTTCTTCTTCAGTTTCGGGTGAGTGCTAGTAACGTAATGATTTGCTTCGCTGACCTCAACCCATTCCAATAACACGGCTCCAACTTGAAGAAATGGTCCTTTAACCTCTAGGGGAGGCTTCAAGTCAAAGCAACTTGCAAAAGGAAAAGACCGAATGTTCATTAGCTCTCTAGCTTGGCTCCTTCTGGAGGTGAATTGATTTAATGGCCTCAGTGAAATATTGCTCTCATCCTGGCCTCGGACCGCTCTTGCCCCTTAACCCCTTCCTTGCCCCCCCCCCCCCCCCAGAACAGCCCCGAATTCCAGGAAAAAGTTGCTGCGAAGTACTGGCTTCCATAAATCACGGTTCCACTCCCCAGCCGCTCCCTGCAGAGCACCAAGGGAGAAACATCATCCCCTTCCCTTTCTCCACCCCCCTCCAGATCCACCCCCTCCTCTGACTCAGTTTTAATGCAGCGTAGAGTGGCATATGAGAACTTCCTCCTCCATTTTACCATAACCTCAACAGGTCTTGCTTTGAGTCGCTCACTGTGCACTCAGATCTTTACGGCCCCGTCTGTCACACCACTGTGGCGTCAAAGTCATGCCACTTCAATCAGTCTCCCTGCTTTATTAACCTGTTAGTGTTTCTGCATGTGGTCATGGTGTTGTTAGGCTTTTATTGGCCACAATCCACAACAACGGTCAAGTCTGACTGACTTCTATCTCCCAAGTGTGTTTTTATAGAGCCAAACAACAAAAAACTTGGGATTGCTGGAGGGAAGCCCAACCCATGTGAATGATAGACCTGTCTCTGCATGCCCATTAGATGCAGGAGAGCTGATTAATACACAGAGTTAGGTTCACGTATGAATAGCTCTGTTTCTAGGACAGTAGGGCTAAGGGCTCTGACAGGAACTCTCGGCACAGCTCTCATGAATAGCACATAAACAAAGAACATCCGTAAACAGTTTAGAAGACCCATTTGGACTTTGTTCTAGAAGTGTGGGTGGGAAGGAGGGATTCGGAAAGGGGACGGGGACTGGAGGGGTGAGAGAGTGAAGCGCTGCAGCTGATACTCCCTCTATGGCGGCCCGTTTGGGAGGAGCAACATCAGGCTGCCTCTGTTCTCCTTTGGGACGTTCTGCCTGTACAAACAAACCTACTCCAGGCCTCTGCTCTAATGGGAACCAGACCTACTCAAGGACCAAATCCTCTTTCTCTTTCTTCCCTCCTCTTCTCCCCACCCGCCATCCACCCCGACCCCCCACCCCACCCCTCTGTATGACCAACACTCTGCCGACACAAACTCCAGCTGAAGGACGCACTTCAATTATCCCAAACAGACCTGAAAATATTCCCCGTTCCTTTCCTCAGTTTTCCCACACAGAAACGGTTCATGACGTTCCACATCTCTACATCAGCGCTGACCTTTGTGACCCTCAAGCAGCCAGACTCCAGTGACCGGCACTTATCTCCACAGATACACTTTCTCTGACTTTCACATGCTTTCTCTATCACTCCTCCTATCTTTCCGTCTCGTTCTCCTTTCCTTCCATGTATATATAAGACATTAACACACAAAGCTTTCCATTGTCTCACGCCGATACTGATGAGCTTTTCTTTTACAGTCCAATGCATTTCTCTCTATTTCTCTATCGGCTCTGATTAAATGTTTTTTTTATATATAACATTATGGTACGTTTTCCGTACAAGCGACTGCATAATTAGATCTCCACCAAATGACGAAAGCATCCTTACCGTTGTGGCCTGCTGGGTGCTGAATGAGAGCAGCTCATCTCTGGCTACAAAGTCTGAATGTTCTCATTGTGAGGGTTCAGAGTTTATCAGTGAATGTCCTCCCAGTCTCGCTGCTGTCTCTATCTGAATGTTCTGTTTCACTAAAGAATGAATATTGGCCCGGAGTCAGATAGAGTGGGAAAAAAAGGCTCTTAAAACACATAGAGCCTCCACATTGACTGCAGATCTGACGCAGAGAGGGCTGATTGTGATATGGCCTGGTGACAGTGGGCGAATAAAATACATGTTAATGCTTCCTTCTGTCCCTCTTCTTTTTACTGTACAACCCTGGTGTGTAGACGTGCATGTACACGTGCACATGAACACTGTTTTCAAGGCCAAAAAAGCATTTTATTTGAGCGTGCTAGAATCAGTGATACAGTCAATGACGCCAAGTGCCTGGAAGTACGGCAGATTTCTCGAGGAGAATGGACCGTGTCTGAAGAGTTGGAACAAGTTCACAAACAGGATGGATGTGACTGTTCAGCTCTGTTC